TCACATTCTAGTTTTTTTTTTTTTTTTTTTTTTTTGGTAAACTAGCAGCTATAAACAGTTATTATAAAATTGGTTAATGCATAAAATATTACTAATATTGGTCAAATATTATTAATATTAGCTAATTAGTTATTTGTAACCAAAAAAAAAGGTCAAATTTGTGTTTTCTTTTGAGTTGTGTTATTAGAATAGATTGGTTACATCTTAAGGAACTTGAATCTCAGTTTTGGGATGATTTGGTGAAATTTTGAGATAGTAAAACGACTAAGCCTACATTACATGCAATAGTACCTAGAATTACTACCGGAAAAATATATAAAAGATCATTGGGCCATGCGGGCTCTCCATAATAATTATGACCCATACCTTTAGCCAATTTAGCTCTTAATACAGGATCATTCAAGTCAGGTTTTTTTGTTATTGGGATAGGTTTAAAATTCTAAGTAAAAACTGAACATGAAAAAAAATGATATTGTAGCACACTGTGTATCATTTCTGTATCACATATGTATCAATTGTGTATCACATGTATATCCATGTATACCTATGTGTGAGATATATGCGTTATACATGTTTGATACATATGTCGCAGATGAATTTTTGAACTCGATTTAATTACGAATTTTAATACAAAACCAGTCCAAATCACTTCCAATCTTCCTCAAATTTTGTATATTGACTTATCTATATGTTTTCAATGAATTTCAACTATACCCATTGAAAAAGTTCCTTTTTTGCTTAGATTTTTGAAATATTGTATTTTTTATTTTTATTTTTTGTATTTCATCACCTTATTTGTTAGTTCATTCATGAAATTTTCTTTCCGTCTTGCATCTAATGTTGCTAATCACGCTTAAAATATGGAGGGAGATTTTTGCATGTGATTCTTTGAGAGAAAGTATCTTATTTATTTGATTTTTTAACTTTTGAATGTGGTTGGCTAGTTTTTGGTAAATAATGGCTAGAGATTGGTAAGTTGAGACGTTGAGACATTTGTGTAAGTTTCCTTTTTTTTTTTTCTTGGAGAATTTCGGACATCTGCTTTTGGTCTTTAATTATTACTTTCACCGGTCCATTTTAATTATTGTGATTAATAAAATAATTGGCCTAACATATTTATTACTTTAGACAATTAATATATAATTAACTTTTTTATTTTGTCTTTAGTATTAATTATTTTTGAACGTAAAAAATATTAAATAACATACAAAATCTAAATGTGACAAGTAAATAAAGGTATAATAGTAAAAAATTCATTCTCATTAACAGTTTTTTAAGATACGTATAAAAGAGAAACATAAAAAAAAAAAAAAAAAATGGACAGATTTGGAATAGGAAATACAACAAATTTGGTCTTTGTGCTATCTGACAACATATTTAACTTTCAATAATTGTTGCACCTTTCATTTACAAACTTTTAAAAGTTGTAAAACTCGTTTGAATATAAAATCACGTGGTTACTTATTTTTTATGTTTTAAATAAGTATTGCTGATACTTTCATTCTTATTTTACAAGAAAACTTATTAAATTTGTGAAAATTATGCTTACGAGGTTGAAATGTCTGGGGCGGCTTAGATCTCATTTGTTTGCACTTAATGGAGGTCTGAATCTTAATCATTCAGATCTCACATATTAAGTGCGTTTGTTTTTAAAGTCTGAATCTTAGTTATTCAGATCTTAATCATTAAGTGTGTTTTTTTTTTTTTTACTTCACAACCACTTAATGGATCTGAATAGGTCTGTATGATTAAGATCTATAACAGAGACTTAATTTCATTAAGAAGCTTTCACATATTCATTATTAACTGCCGCCACCATCTACCATTATCAACTACCACCATGCCACCACCGCCATCATACTCAACCACCACCACCACCACCACCATAGTCAACCACCACCATCATCCTCAATCATAGCCGCCACCATTATCGACCATCACCATCCACCATCCCCACCACTCCGACCACCATCATTCTCACCCACAGTCAATACTTATCCATCTCAACTACCATAACCAACCATCACATCACCAATAACAACCACACCCGGCACCACCCATCATTATAACCTACCACCACCTTCCTCAATCACAAACCACCACCCGCCATTATTAATTATCACCACCCACCACACACGACCATCATCCTCAATCATAATCGCCACCATTACCAGTCACTACTAGCTACTAGCATGAACCACCATCATCAACCAAAACTACCACCAACCACCGCCTCTAGTCGGTATTCACTCGTTAGCCATCACCACCAACAACTAACATATTTTAAAAAACTATATATTTTATTGATAGAATATTAGATTAGTTAGTATTTCATTTGAATTTTATGTTTATTATTTTTCAAATAAAGATAAATTTTCTGCATTCAGATGTTAAAAATCAAATAGTCTTAATTTTTAGTATTCAGATCTTAATACACATCTTAGTATATTCAAATATGTATTCAGATTCAGATGTCTTAATCTTAATACACATCTTGATATTAAGATGTTTATTCAGATTCAGACGTCTTAATCTTTAAAAAAAAAACAAATGAGGCCTTAGTTTGGCACTTATATTTTAGCTTGGAACTCGCATTTTAGATTGATTCAATTAACGTCACAACTTGTCTAGTTTGCGGCTCGATTTTGGACAAAGTTTGGTTTGGTCAATGATCAACTAAAGCTCGATCTCAATCTTCAGGATTGGTTGGCTCGACTATAGGTGAAAATAGAAGGGAGAAGTTACTCTCTAACGTAGCTATTACTGTATTGTTCTAAATTTGGACGGCTTGATAACTGCAGAAAAACATGATCGAGGACGGGGTCGACTACGGAATAATAGCGAGGAGTCATCTTCAGAAGGATTATCGCTAAGGACGAGCAAATGGAGTAAAGAAGTAACGGTAGGACAAATTTAGAAATAGACATAATGAATATCCTTCCTTATGTTGTACTTTTTAGGGTTTCTCGGGGATACCCCTTATAAATAGGAAGAGATAGAGAACAAATGGTGGGATCTTGACCTTTTGATAAGAGCACTTTGTAAAGAGTTGACCAGAAAATATATACAAATATTGTCTTGTTCACTGACTAATTTGTTCAACATATATTATTCATTATTTGTTCACAAGATCCAAAGATTCCTTATAATCACCCAAACCGTCTAACATTTGGGTGATAAATTCCTCTTTAGTACACTTACTCACATTATCTACATTTATTGCACATGTTCTTGTCACAATATTCATTGATAATCATTGAACACATGCCTGATCTTTATTACTCTCAAACGTGGTTCTACTCCACGGATCTGTTCAAGTTTTTTGTCTAGTTCGTATTATATTTAACTAGGATTTACCCTAATTAGTTTAACAAAGAGTTTAACACTTTTTGATCAAACAATTACAATGGTTACATTCAATCCATGCATGCAGATCCAACATAGGTGTGTACCCAATATTGGATGTTTGTGATCAATCAATTTAATCTTAAAAGTTAGAAAATAACCACAACAACAACAACAAAAAATCCAGTATATTTTTACAAGTGGGGTCTGAGGAAGATAGTGTGTACGCAAACCTTACGTCTACCTAATAAAGATAGATAGGTTGTTTCCAATAGATCCTTGGCTCATAGAAAGTGAAAGAAAGAAGAAGAAGAAGAAGAAGAAGAAGAAGAAGAAGAAGAAGAAGAAGAAGAAGAAGAAGAAAAAGAAGAAGAAGAAGAAGAAGAAGGGAGAAGTAGGAAAATGAAGAGAGAAGAAAAAGAAGGAGAAAAGAATAAGTAGTACCAAATAGTAACAATAGAGAAATACGATAATGAAACGAACTAAACAACATGACGCAATATAAATCTAAAAATATGAAGAGGCATGAGTGTTACTAATACTATAGGTAAGAAAGGAGAAACTATCAACTACTAACTACCTTTCTACCATAATCATCGACCTTCACACCTTCCTATCAAAGGTCATGTCCTCACTAAGGTGGAGCAGCGCCATGTCCTGCCTAATCACCTCTCCCCAGCACTTCTTTAGCTTACCTTGACCTCTTTTCAAACCCGTCATGGTCAGCCTCTCACACTTTCTAACAGGAGCATTAATGCTTCTCCTGTTAACATGCCCCCATCTCAGCCTTGACTCCCACATCTTGTCCTTCACGGAGGCCACTCCCACTTTATCCTGAATAACTTTATTCCTAATCTTATCTTTCTTGGTACAGGCAATCATCCATCTCAACATCTTCATCTCAGCTGCTCTCATCTTTTGCACATGGGAGTTCTTGACTAACCAACACTCAGCCCCATACAACATAACTGATCGGACCACTACTCTGTAAAATATACCCTTAAGTTTTGGTGGCACATTCTTATCACATAGAACATCGGATGCGAGCCTCAATTTCATCCATCCCGCTCCAATACGATGCGTGACATCCTTGTCGATGTCCCAATTACCTTGGACAATAGACCCGAGATACTTGAAACTACCTCTATTGGGGATAACTTGAGTATCAAGCTTCACATCTATGTTTATTTCATGAATCTCGTCACTAAATTTGCAATCCAAGTATTCTGTTTTGGTCTTGCTCAACTTGAAATCTTTAGACTCCAAGGTTTGTCCCCAAACCTCCAACAGCGCGTTAACCCGCATCGTATCTCGTCGATTAATACTATATCATCGGCAAATAATATACACCATGGCATCTCCCCTTAAATGTGTCGCGTCAGTATGTCCATCGCCAAGGTAGATAAAGATGGGCTAAGGGTCGATCCCTGGTGTAGCCCCATCACAACTGAAAAATGTTCCAAGTAGGGGTGTTCATAAAAATCCGAAAGACCGAACCAAACCGAAAACCAAACCAAACCGACCAAAAAAACTAATACTTTTTGGTTTGGTTTGGATTTGGTTTTGAATTTTAAAAATTGATTAAATTTGGTTTGGTTTTGGTTTTAATCAGAAAAAACCGAACCAAACCGACTATAGGAGTAGCTATTTCAAATTTATTATTACACACACACATATATATATATATATGTTTATGTAAAGTTTCAAAAATTTAATGGTAAATGTTAATAGTTTGCACTTTTAGAATAGTTCTTTACTTTATATATATATATATATGTATATTGTTATACATATATAACAATATAGGGGCTAGTGCTAGGGGTTATGATGATGTGCATGGCGGGTTCGATTTTGGGGATAGAAATAAGGGAGGTAATTCTCTGTTGGATTTTGCTAGAGCTTTTGATTTAGTTATAGCTAACTCGAGTTTTCCGAAGAGGGAAGAGCACCTGGTCACTTTTCGGAATTCAATGGGCAAGACCCAGATTGATTATCTTCTCTGCAGGAGATGCGATAAAGGTCTGTGCACTGACTGCAAGGTCATCCCAAGTGAGCACCTCACGACTCCTCATAGGCTCCTAGTTATGGACTTGGAGATCAAAAGGAGTAGGAGGAAGAGGGCGGGGTGCAAGCAACCTAAGATCAAGTGGGGTAACTTGACCAAGAACAAAGTTCAGGAGTTAGGGGAGAAGTTGTTGGCTATGAGGGCCTGGATGAGTAGAGGGGACGCATCTAGTATGTGGTTTACGACTGGAATTACATTAGGGTAGCTGCTAGAGGGGTCTTAGGGGTCACGGAAGGCTCTCCTGGGGGTCATAAAGGGGATTGATGGTGGAATGGAGAGGTTCAAGGTAAAGTGGAAGATAAGAAAGCTGCCTATTTGAAGATAGTGGAGAGTACAAACGAGGAGGAAAAAATGACTTATCGGGAGTGTTACAGAAAGGCAAAGAAAGAGGCGAAGTTAGCGGTTACGACGGCTAAGAAAGCAGCGTTTGCTTGTTTGTACGAGGAGCTCGAGGGAAAAGGCGGGGACAAGAGGTTGTACCGGTTGGCCAAGGTGAGGGAGAGGAAAGCCCGCGACTTAGACCAAGTCAAGTGCATCAAGGACGAGGATGGAAAAGTGTTGATGGACGAGGCACTTATTAGGAGAAGATGGCAGTCATACTTCCATAAACTGTTGAATGAGGAGGGGGATAGACACATTGTGCTGGGTGAGTTGGAGCACTCCGAGAGTCGGCGGGATTTTGGGTACTATAGGCGGATTACGTAGAGGAGGTGGAAGGGGCGATGCGTAAAATCTGTAGGGGCAGAGCGACGGGGCTAGACGAAATCCCGGTGGAGTTCTGGAAGAGCGCGGGGCGGGCAGGTTTGGAGTGGCTCACAAGGCTATTTAATGTTATTTTTAAGACAAAGAAGATTCCCGAAGAATGGAGGTGGAGTACGATGGTTCCGCTTTACAAGAACAAGGGTGATATCCAAAATTGCAACAATTATAGGGGTATTAAGTTGTTGAGTCACACTATGAAGGTTTGGGAGAGGGTGGTGGAGGCTAGGGTGAGGAGGTGCGTGTCTATTTCTGAGAATCAGTTTGGATTCATGCCGGGGCGTTCGACTACGGAAGCGATTCATCTGGTTAGGAGATTAGTGGAGCAGTACAGGGAGAGGAAGAAGGATTTGCATATGGTGTTTATTGACCTTGAGAAAGCATACGATAAAGTCCCGAGGGAGGTCCTGTGGAGGTGTTTGAAGGTTAGTGGCGTTCCGGTAGCGTACATTAGGGTGATTAAGGATATATATGATGATGCTAAGACTCGGGTGAGGACTGTGGGGGGTGACTCGGAACATTTCCCTATGGTGATGGGGCTGCACCAGGGATCGGCTCGTAGCCCATTTTTATTTGCCTTGGCGATGTATGTATTGTCGCGACACATCCAAGGGGAGGTGCCTTGGTGCATGCTATTTGCCGATGATATAGTGTTGATTGACGAGACGCGTAGCGGAGTTAATGCAAGGTTAGAGGTTTGGAGACAGACCTTGGAGTCTAAAGGTTTCAAACTGTGTAGAACCAAGACAGAATACTTGGAGTGCAAATTCAGTGATGGGACCCATGATGCAGATGTAGAGGTTAAGCTTGATGCTCAAGTTATCCCCAAGAGAGCGAGTTTTAAGTATCTCGGGTCTATTATCCAGGGAAACGAGGAGATTAACGAAGATGTCGCACATCGCATCAGATCAGGATGGATGAAGTGGAGGCTCGCTTCCGGTGTTTTATGTGATAGGAATGTGCCGCTAAGACTTAAGGGTAAGTTTTATCGAGTGGTGGTTCGACCGGCTATGCTGTATCGGTCTGAGTGTTGGCCAGTCAAGAACTCCCACCTGCAGAAGATGAGAGTAGCAGAGATGAGGATGTTGAGATGGATGTGTGGGTGTACCAGGAGAGATAGGATTAAGAATGAGCTATCCGGGATAGAGTGGGAGTAGCCTCCGTGGAGGACAAGATGCGAGAGTCGAGGCTGAGATGGTTCGGACATGTTAAGAGAAGAAGCATTGATGCTCCAGTCAGGAGGTGTGAGAGGTTGGCCATGGAGAGTTTGAGAAGAGGTCGAGGTAGGCCTAAGAAATACTGGGGAGAGGTGATTAGATATGACATGGCGCTGCTTCAGCTTACTGAGGACATGTCCCTTGATAGGAGGGTGTGGAGGTCGAGGATTAAGGTAGAAGGTTAGTAGGTAGTTTTTAGTTATTCACCGATAGTCTTAGTAGCATGCATGTCCCTTCATATTCTTAGATTTTTATTACATTATGTGGTTGTGTTAGCCTCAGGTATTGTATTCCCTGTTGCTATTATTTGGTACTACTTATCCTTTATCTCACCCCTTCTCTTTTCTCTTCCTTCTTTCTTCCTTCCTTGCTTTCCTCTTCTTCTTTTTGTCCTTCCTGAGCCGAGGGTCTATTGGAAATAGCCTCTCTACCTGCATTAGGTAGGGGTAAGGTCTGCGTACAGCCTACCCTCCCCAGACCCCACCTGTTGGGATCAAACTGGGTTTGTTGTTGTTGTTGTTGTTTGTTATACAAAGTTTCAAAAAATTTATGATAAATGTTAATAGTTTGAAATTTTAATATAGTTCTTTACCTTTACATTCTAGTTTGATTGGTAGTTTTCTTTTGTTTAGTGTACGAATCCATTTCGTGTTAAAAATAACATATTTTTAATTGAGTCCTTAAATTATTCATCACTATTTGATTCAATTATCATCAATATATCTTGGTATATAATAAATTTCTCAAAGGGCAATTGATTTGATAGTGTTACATTGAAAATGTGGTCGCCGGAATATGTGTTTGATAGTGTATGTCATATATTTAAAAAAACGACAAATAACCGAAAAAATCAAAAAAACCGAAAAACCGACTTAATTGGTTTGGTTTGGTTCTAATATTTAAAAAATCGACTTACTTGGTTTGGTTTCTTTTGAGGGGAAAACCGATCCAAACCGAACCATGAACACCCCTAATTCCAAGTCACCTCCCACAGTCCTCACCCGAGTCTTAGCACCATCGTACATATTCTTGATCACCCTAGTGTACGCTACCAAAACACTGCTAACCTCCAAACACCTCCACAAAACCTCTCTCTGAACTTTTTCGTATGTTTTTTCAAGGTTAATGAACATCATATGCAAGTCCTTCTTCCATTCCCTATACCGCTCCACTAATTTCCTCCTCAGATGAATAACTTCCATAATCAAATTCCCCAGCATGAATTCGAACTGGTTCTCGAAAATAGACACACTCATCCTCACCCTGGCTTCCACCGCCCTCTCTCAAACCTTCATAGTGTGGCTTAACAACTTTATACCCCTACTGTTGTTGCAATTTCGGATATCACCCTTATTCTTGTACTATGGAACCATCTTTCTCCACCTCCATTATTCGGGCATCTTCTTCTTCTTAAAAATAGCATTAAATAAGCCAATAAGCCACTCCAAGCCTTCTCGGCCCGCGTTCTTCTAAAATTCCACCAGAATTTCATCTAGCCCTATCGCTCTGCCCCTGCTCATCTTACGCATTGTCCGTTCCACCTATTCTACCTTAATATGCGTACAATACCTAAAATCACGTCGACTCTTGGCGTGCTCCAACTCACCCAACACAATGGTTATTTCCCGCTCCTTATTTAGTAGTTTATGAAAGTATGTCTGTCATATTCGTCTAATATGAGCCTCGTCCATCAATATTATTTCGTCCTCACCTTTGATGCATTTCACTTGGTTCAAGTCATAGGTCTTCCTCTCCATCATCTTGGACAATCGGTGCAACTTCTTGTCCCCACCTTTGCCTCCTAATTCCTCGTACAGACTTTCAAACACCGCAGTCTTAGTTGCCGTCACCTCTAAATTCGCCTTTTTCTTTGGCTTCTTATAACACTCCCGATACGTACCTTTTTTCCTCCTCGTTTGTGCTCCCTACCAGCTTCAAACGAGATTTTTTTTGTCTTCCACTTTACCTTGAACTTCTCCAAATCTCTAGAGTAACCCTTCGTGACTGCTAATGTAAAACTCCAGAAAAATTTGAAGTGTTTAAAGGCTTTAAAAAAGATCGGCATATGCTAATATTAATCCACGTGTGAGCAAGGGCTAATGATACGAATGATATCACTTGAACACTATAATATATGTGTGAGGTATATTTGGAATCGTTTATAGTCTAAGAAAAGCATAAGGCTAAGCCAAGTTGGAAACTATATGATGGGCTAAAGGTTCAAATGAGTTCGCATAAAACTTAACTTCAAAAGAGCATAACTC